CCCCGGGGTCCTCCCGGGGGCTGCCTCCCGCCAGGGGATGCTCCCAGGGCAGCTCGGGGCTTTTGAACGGCTGCCGGTTTATTTACCGGAGGCCGAGCGCCCCGCTTGCCTTCCCAAACCCCCCGCTGGCCGTTCCTCCCGATCCCGCTGGAGCAGAGAGCCGATGCGCGGGCAGCGAACCTCTGCGCGGGTTGTGCCAGCCCCCTGCGGCACCCCGGTCTCTTCAGGCATCGTTTAACGACGATGAATTAATTAAAATCAAAGCTGAGAGCAGGGACGCAGACTCGAACACTTCTGCCCGGCGGGGAGCTCCGTGCAACCGCGGCGCTTGGCCTGAAAACAAACCCCAGGGCGTGCGCGGGAGCGTGGCGCCGGTTACCTATTAATAAACCCTTTCTAACGATGCAAATCGAGGCGCGTCGGCTGCCGGCTCGGGGGTGGAAAAGGGCCAAGAACGGGTGGGTTTGGTAATCCCAGCTGCGGTTTCCTGTCTCCTCGCAGGGTGCGGACGTGAACTGCATGCACGGCACCCTGAAACCGCTGCACTGCGCCTGCATGGTGGCTGACGCCGACTGCGTCGAGCTGCTGCTGCAGAAGGGAGCGGAGGTAAAGGCTTTTAAAGAACAAAACCGCGTTAAAAATGCGAAGGTGCCTTTGAAAAGGGGCCGGGAAGTCGGGCGGCGGCGGCGGGTGCTGATAAACAGCTGAGATTTGAGCCGACGGTTTGAGCAGTGCCGGTTTTGTGCCCCTTCTTAGGGCAGAATGGGCCCAGGTGAAGTTTTATCGTCCCGGTAGGGAGCGAAATGTTTGTGTCCGAGATCTCGGGGGTGCCCGCTCGTCCGGGGAGGGAGGGTGGTTTTGTGGTGGAAGCTTGAAAGAAGAACTAAAACCAAATTGCCTGATTTTTGGCACTTCCTTCTGGCCGCCGGCGGGTCCTACCCCCCGCTCCCTGCCTCATTTTCCCATCCGCTAAATTGGGGATAAACTTTGCCCGGCGCCGGTGGAGCTTCCCCTGACGCCGGCAGGAGCTGGGGCACCGCAGTGACCCCCAAATCCTTTCTCCCCGCTCCCCTTCTCCTGCAGGTCAACGCCCTGGATGGCTACAACCGAACGGCCCTTCACTACGCGGCGGAAAAGGACGAAACCTGCGTGGAAATCCTCCTGGAGTACGGGGCCAACCCCAACGCGCTGGACGGCAACAAGGACACCCCGCTCCACTGGGCCGCCTTCAAGAACAACGCCGAGTGCGTGCGGTCGCTGCTGGAGAACGGCGCCTTGGTGAACGCCCGCGATTACAACAACGATACGCCGCTCAGCTGGGCAGCCATGAAGGGTAACCTGGAGAGCGTCAGCATCCTGCTCGACTTCGGGGCGGAGGTCCGGGTGGTTAATTTGAAAGGCCAAACCCCCATCTCGCGGTTGGTGGCGTTGTTGGTTCGGGGATTGGGTACGGAACGCGAGGATTCTTGCTTCGATCTTCTCCATCGAGCTATCGGACATTTTGAGTTGCGAAAAAACGGCAGCATGCCCTGGGAGGTGACCAGGGATCAGCAGCTCTGCGAAAAGCTCACCCTGCTCTGCTCGGCGCCCGGTACCCTACAGACGCTGTCGCGTTATGCCGTGCGCCGCAGCCTGGGCGTGCGGTTCCTGCCGGAGGCGGTGAAGCAGCTGCCCTTGCCCACCTGCCTGAAGGAATACGTGTTGCTCCTTAGCTAAGCAAAAAGACGAGGCGCCGGGGCTTTTCCACGCCGGCGTTCAGCTCCCTTTGTCACCGCTTCCTCGCAGCAGCGCCGGGAATGAGGTTGACCGCTTGGTTTGGGACTCACGAGTGCCAGATTCCCCTCCCCGGTTGCCGTCCCGGTTTTCATCCTGCTCTGCTCTTCCGCCTGAGCCGGCGCGGGGCGGCGGGGATCCGCCAGTGCCGCGCGCCGACGGCTCCGTGTTGTGTCTCTGCCCACAGCGCCTGCTCGGCGGCTGCTCCCACGCGCTCTCCCCTCTATTTCGGCCTCCTGAGATGAACCATCCCCCTTTAATGGCAAATTATATCCCAGCTGTTGGATTAACATCGTTTTTTTCCCTTTTTTTTTGCGTTGGGGCAGACCTTGGGAAAAGGAAGGCTTTCGAGGTGTGGGGAGAACGGGAAAACCCTCCTTCTTTGAAGGACTTGAGGCAGGAAATCAAGAGAAGGTGTCGTCGGACCCGGAGAAGTCCCGTGGGACGCGTCGGCTGGATGTCCGGTGGAAAAGCCCACCCGAAGCGCGCGTAGCGAGCCCGCGCGTTGCGTAACGCTGGCGCCTTTGCTCGGCGCGAACGCCCGCGCGCAGCCGCGGCCGCCCCAGCGCGATGCCCTGCAGACGGGGCGGAGCTCGCGGCTCTGCGGCTCTCCGTGCTTTGGGCAGACGCGAGGCGTCCCTTCGACGCGTGGAAGTAGGTTTTTTTTTTCTCCTCATATCTATAATTTTTAAGATGAATCAGCGCTGTAGAGGGGAAGAAGGTGGGAACACCTCAAAACCCAACGCTTCCTCGGGCTGGAATTCCTGCGAGCGGAGGCAATGTTTCCCTTCCTCATCCCGTGGGATGCTCCATGCCCCGGCGCAGAGGTTTCCCTCCTGCCTGCCACGCAATAACCCACCCGAGCTCTTCCTTAGCTTTGGTTTTGCACCATCCGCTCACCGTTTTGTTGTTGATTTTTATTGACGTGTGCGTATATACAGATTTTTAGGAGGAGGCGTGAGGACGTGCTGGCAGCGGGGCACCGGGCAGGGCCCCTGCGGGCAGCGCCCGCCCTCGGTTCGGCACGGCTCGCTCCTGGCGGCACCGGCGTCGCGTATTCACGGAAATAAACGGCTCGCTGCGCGCTGGAAGGGGGGTGTGTGTCGCACGCTCGCGGCCAGGGCCAGCAAGGGAGCACGGGAGGTCGGCCCCGCTCTTTTGGGGTCCTCCCTGAACGGGGAGGGTGCGTCAGGGTGGGGTTTGGGGGCGCTGCTGCCCGTGGCTTCGTTCCCGTGCTTGTTTTCGGCGCCGCGTCCTGTCCCCATCAACCTCCGAGAGCCCTGACATCACCGCGTGGGTTGCGACGCCTTGTTAAACCCCCCGCGCTGCTGAGTTCTGCATGGGTTTTACGCCTGCCCCCTCCGAGCCCCCTCGCTGCTCCCAGCCCGCCCTTCGCACCGTGCCTCCGCCCTCGTCCGGGGGTTTTTTGGGATCTTGACGATGCACGGAGCTGCGCCATCCTCTGCATGCGCGTTCCTCACCCAGGGAGAGCTGCCCCGTGCTCTCAACGGTGAAGGCAGGCGGATAAACTTTGATAATTGCTTTACGGGAGAAACTTGAGGGAGAAAAATCAGATTATTTATATTTTCTTCCTACCGGTTGTGCTGGGGAATGAAGCCGTCGGGGCCAGGGGTGCGTGCGGGGCTGTGGGAGCCGTGTTCGCCTTCCCCGGGGGGTGAGCGCCGGAGGGTTGGAGCACGATTCGTCTTTGCCACCACAAGTGAGTGCCGAGTTTATTGAAGCATCTTAATTCTGAATTTTTAACATGAAAGCGGTGCCCTAGGGTCTCTACCCGGACCGCTTGCTCTCAGCTCATCGCAACATCCCGCCCCAACGCTTGGGGAACCGCTTTTCTGTTTAAAAAGCCCATAAAATACCTAAACCAACCCCAAATTTACCCCGAGGAAACCCTCTGCTTCGGGAAAACCGCT